TGTGCAACTTACATCAGGATTTATGCTTACGGCGCTGGACTAAATTGGCTTGGATATATAAAAGCTCTCCCCTAGTCGTAACAACAGTCATACGAGTTGTCAGCCTATGAAATTTATGAAATTTATATGATCGATATTCATTCGTGGTTCACATGAAATAACCGCAGTACCAATTTCGGTTGTACATTGCGATGAAATCTTAATAATTAAATAAACCCGCGTTGTAAATTAGTAAAATCCGCTACGTAGATCACGTTAGGGTGAAATCCGCGTTTAGTTATGTTCGTTATGCAAAAGCAAATTTCACTATCATGTGATCTACGTAACGGATTTTACTAATTCACAGCGGGTTTCACCCTGTCGTATTTAAATTTAAATTTGATTTGCGAAAAAAAAAGATTATAGTTTTATAATCATAAAAATTGCACTATATCATAATTAAATTTAGAATTATAGAGACAAAAATTAAATTCAAAATTATAAAAGCAAAAATTAAATTTAAAATTATTAAAGCAAAAATGTATGTACAGTGCGTAATAATTTTACCAGATATGATATAATCTTGAGATGATAGAAATAAAATTGTCTTTATGTTTAGGATATAGTTTCTATGTTTTCATTTTGACATTCATTCATACTATTGATAAAACCTAAAGGTGAAAAAAATCTTTTTACCAATCTGAAATATTTCGTATTCTTTCACTGAAGAATATGAGCAGCCACTAGAATCGTATGTACTGTAACTCTAATTCATTTTTCATATAAATATAAAATGCCTAAAGATTGATTAGAAATACTATAAACGATTAAATCACCACCACCGAAAAATGGACCACAGTGAAAACTAGAATAAATTGCATATTGTGGGGTTTTCACACAATTTAAAATAGCGTTTTTAATAGTGCCATTTTTAATGAAATAATAAAGCTCTCGTTGCAATTTTGATATTCCCATTATCCAGTTTATTTCATCTAATAGGATTATATCCTCCCCAAGAATTTCGTCAGTGCCTTTATCTTCACAATTACAACATTTATTTTTTATTACATAACATCCAAAATAAATCCTGGTAAAACTATCGAAGAAGTAATTTAAATTCATATGGATTATATTAATTCATGAAGTAATTTCAGTTGCGTGTGCTTCATTAATAGTTACTGAAAATGACTCATTCTGGGAGGTAATGAATATTTTAAAATCACTCAAGGTGGAAAAATTACTGATGAAATCGGTTGATTTGTAGAGTTCTTTTAAAATATCCTATAGATTTTTATCTAGCATTTGTTGATACAGATATAAATTAACGTCTCCATATATTTGAAATAACAGATATAAGGTAAACAATTTTGTAAAGCAGTTTTTGTAGTTAAAATTTTTTATTAAATCAGTTTTTAGGATCAGATGGCGAACCTAGATTTTGTGCAATTCCTATTTGATTAAATAATTCCAAATTTTTACTTCTTCCATTTGCAAATCATCACATTTAATAAGCGAGACTAATACAATTTTCTTGAATCGAAGTAAATTCCTCTGGTTCAAAAAATCTTAACTAGATACTTTACTATAATAATCTTTGTTTCAATCAAGTAAGTTTCAAGATGCTCAACAAATTCTTCAAAGTGAAACTTAAAAGTAATAACCAATATGTCAAGAAAAATAATGTATCAAGATTTTCTAATGAAAATTATTCAACTGTAGATGTATCTTAATTAAAAATTTTACAATTACATTAATTTTTGCGTTAACACTTTTAATAATTTAAAATTGTAAGATAATAAATAAGAATATTATAGTTACCTGATGATAATTTCAAATTGCTGAATAGTAACAATTAGATTAACCGTTTTAAAGTTGTTCCTACCTCTGTTAACGTTTTTAATTCATTGTAAAATTGCAATGACCTATATTTTAAAACTGCTAAATGCGCCGAAATATTTTTGCATTTGGAGATTCGCCAACATTAATTAATACATTAAAATTTTCCTCATCATCAAAAGTTCAAAGAATTATTTGAAAGCTTTCCAACAAATTTTAATGACTTTTATTTTTGATAAATAGTTTTGATTGTCTGAAGCGTAGCGGAGGACTTTTAATGTATCAGACACGATTTATTGGCCTATGATATTTACCATTTGTGATCCACACGAAATAGCCATAGTTGTGCGTAGCAATGTAAACTTAAATTTAAAATATAAATTTGATATATCAAACTACTAGAACTAATTCAGTTTATACAATGAAATCTAACCGGAACATTCTTAATTATAGTTTCATAATTATAAATTTGCATTATATTATATATTGTTAACTTTAAAATTATAGAGGCAAAAATTAAATTCGGAATCTTAAAAGCAAAAATCAAAATTAGAATTATCAAAGCAAAATGTATTTACAGTACGTAATATTGATATGACAGTCATTATGATAACGAAAACAATAAAATTAACAAATTTCTATTTCGAACTTGTTGAACTTGGTTTTATTAAGAATTAACACCTGCAAATTTAAAATTAATAGATGTACTTCTATGTTTTTATTTATTTTTATTTAATAATATTTTAACGAATTTCTATTTCGAACTTGATTTTATTAGAATTAAAACCTGCAAAGATGTATTTCTATGTTTTCATTTTATGACATTTATGACATTTATTTATACTATTAATAAATTTAAAAATGAAATAATTTTAAGAGTTTTTACTAATTTGAAATATTTCGTATTCTTCCACTGAAAAATGTGATACTCCAAAACTGTATGTAGATGCATCTCTAATTCGTTTTTCATATGAATATAAACGGTTCCAACAACTACTATGAAAATCATAAATCATTAGATCACAAGAGCCTCTACTATAACCACCGAAACCCGGACCACAGAGAGAATTGCAATAAATTGCGTATTGTGGGTCTTTCACACGATTTAAAATAAAATTTTTAATAATGCCATTTTTAATAAAAAAATAAAGCTCTCATTGCAGAAATTAGATATCTAGAAGAATGCACAGAACAAACAGCCCAAGCTAGAGAAATGGCCAGATGAACACTGTAATGAAAATGATCTTATTTGATAAAATAATATTCAATACTTAAGTTATTTATAATATCAAACAAACTTCAAGGAAAAAGCAAGAATTCTCGATTTATACTATTTACTAGAGGCCATTAATTCTTCCAAAGTCAGTATATAATTGCAGATTCATTCTGGGTAAGTATAAAAAATGAATGTTTTACAGTTAATAATTATGCCAAGCCAGGTTCAAGTAAACCAAGCCGGTTTCAAGAGAACCCAAGCCGGGTTCAAGTGAATCCAAGCCGGGTTCAAGTGAACCTAGACCGGGTTCAAGTAAACCTAGGTCAGGTTCAAGTAAGCCCATATAATTCTAGTATCACCACCCCAAAAAAATTTGCTGACTATGTGATTTTATTAAAAAAAAACTGTTTCACGATTAGTTTAGGGTTAGGGTCCACCAGTAGGTTAATGTTTGGTTTAGAGGGTTATAATTATAGTAAAATTTCACAAGAAAATTTTTTTGTTAGTATACAAAAAGCACCTTCATAGGCAAAATTTTGAGCTATGAGCATTTTTTTGTTGTCATGATTTTTTTGCACTTCTTTTCGTTAAACAAGATCTTGAAATCTGATTGGCCAGCGAAAGTAATTAGGGTGGTGATTTAACTGCTGTTGTGAGCCCAAGTCAGGTTCAAAAACCTAAGCTAGGTTCAAGTAAACCCAAATTGGGTTTATTTGAACCCAAGCCAGGTTCAACTGAACCCAAATTGGGTTCATTTGAACCCAGTTCTGGGAGCTAGAAAGTTAAAAAAAAAAATTTTAAAAAATTTCAAAACTAAAAAAATTGAAACCGAGCCCCCGGAGTATCGCTCGGGTTTGGGAACTAGTTATCATTGATTAATTCGTTAGTTTATTTACAATTATAGTTTCCTATAAAAATAGGGGTTCAAATCCGTGTTCAATATTACGATGCTGGATCACATTCATGGGACGTGGTTGCTGAAGACTTCAAATAATTCCCCCACCCTCGCGCCAGTTCCTGGTTGCTTCTTTACCGGGCCCGGAAAATAGGTCTGAATATTTGCAAAGGTTTTTCCATCCCCGCCTGAAAATAGTACCGTGATCTCGTCTGGTAACAGAACTATCCCAGAAAAGAATACTCTAGATCTTGAAAGAATTGAAAATGGTATTTTAATTTTATTAGATCAAAACATCGTTTTTTGATACACCTGTAACTTACTATTAACAATAAGATTTTGATAACCCTAATTTTAACATTTCATAGGCTTTGACGATCGTACCATTCATGATCAGGAACATATACTCAGGTATATGGTTCCCATTATCAATGGATATTTTGCGTTGTTTCTTACAATACTTTCGTAAAATTTAGCCAATGCTGTTGGATTGGCTTGACGAAACCCATTGTGGTCAATACGATTTCGTCTACTTGCGTATCGATTTTAAAAATAAGTGCAATGTCGGATACGCTTTTGTTAACTTTATAGATATAAGGTAAACTTCTTTAAATGTGCATTATTATTTTATTCCCTTTTCCTAACAAATATTTTATATATTTCTCAAAGTGCCGTACTTTCTTTTGCTAAGGCACGCGTTGGTGGAAATGGTATTTGCAATTCCTTTATTTAGTTTTTACAGTTTTTAAACAATTATCACGCAGTTATTTGTAACAAATAATAACGTTTTAAAAGCCGAGTTTCAACTTTGCCAAGATTTGTGAATTATCGTATGCCAATGTCCAGGGTAAAAACGCGCTTATCCAAAAGTTTATAAATTCCTGGTACATATATTAAAATAGAGTTTTTATTATCACTATATAACACTAGTAATTTATTATTTGATTATTATTTTAGTGTTATGTCGAAACTCCCGAAGACCGTCCTATATTCTTTTATACTGGGGATTCCATGCGCGGTTATAAAATGCGATTCATACCCAACAACGTTGAAAAGCAAATTATTTTTTTCTTCAAAAATAATGATTTACTACTCAATTGTAAGAGTCTTTCTGTCTTATTTATTTATTTATTTATTTAAAGAAAAAAATATTATTCAAAGTTTTGTTTAAATTTTTCTTGAATAAATAAAGTTTTTTTTTTCTCTATTATCAAAAATTATCAAATGCACACAGAAACAATGACTTATCTTAAATAATATCGATTTGATTTTCGATCGACATGGTCAAAAATATCGATTTATATCGAATACCCGTCACCCATAAAGGATAACTTCTCATATAACTTTATTAAAAAGTATTTTCAGAAAAAAATTGACCGACATAATATTTACTGATTCAATAAGTAACTGATTCGGTAGCGATCATTATTCAAATCACAAACTTATCTAAAATAAAATAAAATTCTAGTGTATGTTTGTTGATTACATATTTACAAATTTTATAATTTGATTGGTTGGTTATATAAAAAGGTTTTTTTATTATGCCAATTAATGATGCCTGACGAAACTCACGTGACCTGACGAAACCATATAGTTTCGTCATTTCGTCAATGACGAAACTTATGGTTTCGTCAATTCGTCAACAGCTAAAATAGTTTCGTCAGGCATCTATAATGCCAATCTATTTCCATTCATAATTGAAAAATACAGTCCGTCTCAAGATTAATCCATATGTTCGATTCAATGATCATTTACGAAAAATAAACTATTAACTGTTAAAGAATTTTTGGATATCATGTGATAGTAAAAAAATTTTGTTGGCGATCTAGGATCAAATGAACCAAGAGAATATCATGAATTCCAGTTTAAATTCACGTGTATTACTTAAATAATTAGACTAACAATTGTACTGAAATATTTTTCATTTATAAAAGCATATAATCATTTCCATTTTTACGCCTTTTCTTTGTTTGTTCAACAACTTTACTGACTTTCTCAGCATTCAATTCATCGATCTTTTTATTCTTTTCTCGAATTTCCATCGTCAATTCATTGATTGTCTGTACCAAATCTTGTTCTACTTGAGCTCTTTCATCGCTTGTTTCTTTCATTTCTTTTTTCAATTTTTTTTATGTCTTCATTTTTTCCGTTATTCATCTGTAACGCTTTATATTCTTTTTCAGAACCTCGTATTTTGCTTTAAGACTTGCATGTTTCGCTTGGAGTTCTCCATTTTTCTCATCGAGATCTTTAAGTTTCATTTTGGACTCTGCTATTTGCGTTTCGAGATCCCTATACAATGATTTAAGATTTGCATGTTCTGATTCGATAACTGCGTGTTTTGTTATGAGATTGGAATAAGCTTCTTCGATAGCTTTATTTCTTAGCTTAAAATCCGTATTTCCTAGTTTTATATATTTTAAGTGTTAAACTTCTTTCTTGACTAGCTGCGTTTTTTTCTTTTAGATTTGTAACTTCTGATTCTAGGGCTGTATTTATCACTTTTAAATTCGTATTCTCTGATTCGAGAGCCGCATTTTTTACTTTTAAATCCGTATTTTCTATTTCAAAAAGTTTCGCATTTTTTCAGAGATTGTACTATAAAATCTTTTTATTAGAAATTATTAATTTTTCTTTGTGAGTAAAAAATTTGATGCTTACTTTTCGAAAATCAAGTTGTTAGTTACTTCGATTAGATTGCTAATTGTAGCGTTATTTGTCTAAAATAAATATTTGTTATAGGCGTAAAATATTAATATGTATAATGTGTAACAAATACCTTTTGGTGATACCAAAAAAGAGCTAAAATTGAAAATGCAATGATTGCAGTTAAAATTTTTTTTTAATTTTTTATATTTTTGGCTATTATTATTACATGGACAGACGTAAACAATTTGCGTTTGACTTAGGGTGTTCTCAAGCATCTCAATCAATTAATCAAGTAATGAGCATGATGACGCTTAAGCACCACGATCAATACGATATTTATAGAATTAAATGCTTGAGCATAGCCCTATGCGTTGACGAAGTCACGCTAGGGTTATTATCGCGAGGATAACCTGATTTGTGGCTTATATGAAATTG